TATTCTGTTTCTTAGTCTCCTGATTCCTCCTACCGACCTGCCTTCCATTTCAATTGTTATTATTAGTCCCGTGTGGGTCCTCTTTTCTCTCATAACAATCCATTTTGAGGTGTCGAGAGTTTTGTTATTTTTGTTTATAATATCTATAATGTTTCTGCCGTTAAATCTTGAGTGTGTGCAGCGTCCTTCGACTAAGAAGCGGTTATCCAGCGTCTGTCTGTCTTCCACTTTTAGTTCGTATCCTATTTTTAGTTTGACGTACCGGATTGCGAACTTTAACCACTTCACTGTGTCTTCCGTACCACATATTAACATTATTCCNAATTTATTCTAAATAATCTTTACACTTGCTTACACCGATAAAAAAGTAGGTTATACGGCAATCATTAACAGCGACGACGATAAATTCGAGATTGCCAGTTGGTAACACTCACACGAGTGTTAGCGAGTGACTAGTCAAGGGAAATTCTTAATAGTGATTCCTCCAGATCCGCTTCGTTATCTTCACTCGCCTTTAAGTCCTCTTTTGTGTCTTGGTTGGCCGTCATTCTCTCCTTTCCATGTACAAGGCCGTTGGCCGTGGTCACGTTTTGTTTCGCTGGTGTCGAGGTGCCCTTTTTCAGGGACGGACTCTCGTCTAGAATTTTTGCTAGTTCGTCCGAGATAACTACTTCCATCCCTTCATAGCTGTTTAAATTTGCCGATAGGATAAATTCATCGCCGGCGTCATCGAACGAGGAATTGTTTTCTTCCCTTTGCGAGGGTGCGCCTTCGGTAGACGTAGAGTCGTTTAGATGGGCTGTTGTTCCCACCCTTTCGGTATTTTCCTCGGTTCCCTCTTTCGGGTCGATCTTGAAATCCTCCTCTGATATTTCCACTTCTGTTTGTATCTTTAACGGCCTGATATTCTTGGCCGGTGTTACGGTAAGTATTGTAAATTTGTGTACTCCCGCCTGGTCAAGCGCCAGCCTGTTCCTCTTGCGTTTCAGCAGTCCTACCGACCTCCCCTCCATCTCCAGCGTGATAATCAAGCCGGATCTGGTAGGCTTCTCCCGCACTACCTTCCATCGTGAAACGTCAATGTCGTTGTTATACTTCTGTAGGTCACGTATGATATTCGCACCTGTGAACCGCGAGTGCGTGCCCCTGCCTTCCAC